TACAGCTCACAGCAACCTCCAACTCCTGGGCTCAAGCTAGTCTCCTGCCTCCGCCTCCCAAGTAGCTGGGACCACAGGCGCCCACCACAACGCCCAGCTATTTTTTGGTTGCAGCCATCATTGTCGTTTGGCGGGTCCGGGCTGGGGATTCGAACCCGCCACCTTAGGTGTACGTGGCTGGCGCCTTAGCTGGTTAAGCTATAGGCGCCGAGCCACTTCCTCCATCTTTAGTCTTAGTCCTGCTCTTCCGAGCTGGCTATGGTAAGCAGCTGGGTGTCATTTAGCTTTTGGAAGACTTTTCTCTTCGTGAGATATTCTGGCAGTTGTGAAAGTAGAGTGAGACGTCAGGAAGGGCCTGGTCATTGAACCAGAGTCTGGGAGTTGTGCAGGGGCTGTTCTGTTCTTACTTCCTGTGATGTTAAGTAATAGTGATAATCTGAAGCTGCTATCAGTGTCACATAACTTTAATCGAATTATGAGTTAAACACTAAAACTGTTAATTCTCTTGTTATGTTGGTAGAATTTTGATTTGCTGATCTTTTAAGAAAGTATTTGTGAATTGCATTCATATAATCTTAGGGTGGGGGTGGATAATCATGGTAACAAGTTACCTTCTGTTGAATTCTTTGATAAGCTGCCCACTGAATTTACAATGGGCATTTTACAACTCATTATCTCCTTTAATTTGCACAACAGCTCACAAGATAGTTTTTATTTCCATTTTGTAAAGGAGGAAACTTAAATGTGAACTACCTAATGTAATAGCACAAGACCCCTAAAAAGAGGAGCTGGTATTCTTTCTGGAAAGCCAGTGATCTGCTACTTCTAGCTAGTCTTCTTTTCCAGATAAGGAAATTTAGTCTTGGAGAAATTAAGTGATCTATCCAAGGTCACACAGCTCAGTAGTAGCAACATTAAACCATCCTTTTTATCTCCCGGACGGCTTATCTCAGGACTTTTGGTCCAGTGCTGGTTGTGCTACATTGTATTGAACTGCTATGGACCAAAAGACCATATACTGTGAATATTGGACGCAAATGCTTCAGAACTGATGAATCAGTGAACGGTGATTTCTAGTATGTATTAAAAGATTTCCTTTTCTCTCTTTCAGAAATTATAAAGAGCTCTGATGGGCTATTTGGGTGATACCCAGTGCAGTGAACTGCAGGTAAGCAAAGTTTAGGAGATCCTTATTTAGAAAATAGGAACTTGGTGATGCCTGAAAAAGAGATAAAGGAGACTTAATTTAGACAGAAAGGATGATGTGGGACAGGGTGGAGTGATGAAGGCTGTTGTGAAACAGTGGTAACCCAAAGAGGCAGGTCCTAACTAAGCTGGCTACTTTCGGCATAGACTGGGTGATGCACAGACTCTGCAGAGACGCTGCCTGCGGCTTTGTCAGACTAGCTCCTTTGAAGAGATGTGAGGGTAGGTTAATCTTCCACGTCTGTTCAGAATAAGTAACTAGGTAAGGGCTCAACTTGTCTCCATGTGATTGGAATTGGAGAGATCCTTCGGTTTTTGTGTCCACATTCTTGAGTGGTGATCATTCTGTGCTCTGATGAACTTGGTTAAGCGTCGTATTCTCCTGTTCCCAGCAATGTGTAGGTAGGGTCCTGAGTGACTTTATAGGTCTGTATTTTTGGAGATCTAAACATATCGATAGAAACAAAAGGTCGAACTTTCCCCTAATGGTTGTACTACTCCCATCTGTACTATTAGTCCTTCAGATTATCTTTTGCTGAAATGTTTTTCTAATTAAAGACAATTTAGTCTCGAGTATTTTTTTAATTTCACAATAATTAATCTTTTTGGTCCATAAAGTATCTTAGTCTTTCATTATTAAACTTAGAAAATGTTAATGCTAAAGACAAAAAAATTGGAAGACTTTTAACATTGTCCTTGTGAGATATCAGTGCTAATGTTTTTTGATACATTTTCAGTACTAGTCTTTTGTTAGACATCTTCCTCTACAGAAGGTTTCCGCTCTTAGCAAAGTCACTTGCGATCCTGCTTTTTGAACTCTTGTCTGGGTAAGATTTACAAGAACCTCCCCTAGCTGCTTTTTACTTGCTTGGTTTAAGCTAGAGTTTTTAGCTTTGTGTTTTTTGTAGTTCTTTAAAAAAAAAGAAAGAAAGAAAAAAAAAACAACTAACACACTTTGTCTGTTTTTTTTTTTTTTCCCTTTTAACTGTACCAGGTCTCCTGGCCCCTAGTTCTTTGATTTATCTATGAGTCCGTCACTGCCATTTAACTGATAAAGTCTACTGCTGAGTCTGCATATTGGCCTTGAGAATCTCAGAGCCTTTAATGTGGAAATACTATATATACTTTTAGGGTTTGCAGTGAAATTGGGCTTGGCTGCTTGCTAATTGTTAAAGTAATATATGGTGGTAGAGGTTGTTTGTTTCTTAAGTTTATGCTTGTTTTGCATGATTTATTCCCCATAGGTTCATGGGGATTATCAGAAAACCAATAGAGGCATTTTGCTCATCCTTGAAAAACTGGGGTCAGGGGTCTTCACAGGTTATCATGACCCAAGAGAGCATGGAAACTTACAGTCAAGATCAAAGTGAGCAGTAGAAGGAAGGGGTGGTTCTCTGCTTGAGACTTTTAGCTTGTGTCCTGGAACCCTTCCGTTTCCTTTGTCTAGTGGAACTTACTTTCTTAATGGTGAATGAATTGATATTAAATAAATTGTGAAATGTTGGGTTATTGCTCTAAAATGATTGATTTTTCTTTTGGCATTCTATTTCAAAGTATATATATTTTTTATTCACTTTTAATTATGGTGCAGAATTTGATTTTTTTAATTTACTAGATTATGAAACATTTTCATATTATAGATTTCATGATTTTTTTTTTTTTTGAGACAGAGCCTCAAGCTGTCCCCCTGGGTAGAGTGCCGTGGCATTACAGCTCATAGCAACCTCCAACTCCTGGGCTCAAGCAAGTCTCCTGCCTCCGTCTCCCAAGTAGCTGGGACCACAGGCGCCCGCCACAACGCCCGGCTATTTTTTGGTTGCAGCCGTCATTGTTGTTTGTCAGGTCCGGGCTGGGGATTCGAACCTGCCACCTTAGGTGTACGTGGCTGGCGCCTTAGCCGGTTGAGCTATAGGCGCTGAGCCAGATTTCATGATTTTTAAGAAATAGAGTTTGACTCTGTTATTCAGACTAGAGTGCAGTGACAGGATCATATCTCACTGAGATTATAGGCATGCATGCACTAGTATGCTTGGCTAATTAAAAAAAAGTTGGGGGGCTCGGCATCCATACTCAGTGGTTAGGGCGCTGCCGCGTATACTGAGGCAGGCGGTTTAGAAACTGGCCCGGGACTGCTAAACAGCATAACAACTGCAACAACAACAAAAAAATACCTGGGTATTGTGGCGGGCACCTATAGTCTCATCTACTTGGGAGACTGAGGCAAGAGAATCGCTTTAACCCAAGAGTTTGAGGTTGCTGTGAGCTGTGATGCTACGGCACTCTACCGAGGGCAAAAAAGTGAGACTCTATCCAACAAAAAAAAGATTTCATTTCTCTCTCAAATTTTTTGTGACTTTAATTGTGTAAATGACTCTTGCATTTCTTTGTTAGGTAATGTTGAATTTAACTGTTTGAGTCTCTTCATGGTAAATTGTTTATTCATATCTTTTCCTGCTTTATACAAATAACTATTGTGGGCTTTGAATGGTAAGGCTAATATATAGATAATTATTAAAAAGATAACCAGAACTTGTTCAGTAAGAAGAAGAGTATGGTCTACATGGTGAGTGATCTTGGAGATAGTGGGTGAAGGGGAATAGATGGATTATTTCACCATTTGATTCAGCAAGTATTTGTTGGGCATCCATTGAGTACCTCTGTGTCTTCTGGGTGGTTCCGAATTCATCATTGTGGTATGTACGGGGGTTAAAGCAGGAGATAGCTTGAGATTGAGTCTTGACCAGTTGGAGATTCTGGTTTCTGTTGTCTCTTTGTGGTTACTTGGAGAGCTGAGAAGACCTCTACTGTTAGTCCATCTTTAACTCACTCCTGGCATACCAGTGTGCCATGGCATGCTGTCTGAGAAACTGTTCTGAGGGATACAAAGATGAATGAAATGTTGCACCTATTGATATGGAACTAATCATCTAGTAGGAAGAATAGGGGTGCCAAAAAATGAAAGGACTGGCTCGGTGCCTGTGGCTCAAGTGGCTAAGGCGTCAGCCACATACACCTAAGGTGGTGGGTTCGAATCCCCAGCCCGGGCCTGCCAAACAACAATGATGGCTGCAACCAAGAAATGGCCAGGCGTTGTGGCGGGCGCCTGTGGTCCCAGCTACTTGGGAGGCTGAGGCGGGAGACTCGCTTGAGCCCAGGAGTTGGAGGTTGCTGTGAGCGTGATGTCATGGCACTCTACCCAGGGGGATAGCTTGAGGCTCTGTCTCAAAAAAAAAAAAAAAATGAAAGGACTGATAGAAATTTGATAGGTGCTATAAAAGGGCTCCATAGAGATGCTTGGGGATTAAGTGGAGGGAGTGCTACTGCCCCCTTGGGGATATCAGGAAACACTTCAACTGAAGAGGTGGCTTTTTTTGAGACAAAGTCTCACTTTGTCACCCTTGGTAGTGCCATGGCATTATAGCTCACAGCAACCTCAGACTCTTGGGCTCAAGCAGTTCTCTCGCCACAACGGCTATTTTTTTAGAGATGAGGTCTCATCCTGGCTCAGGCAATCCACCGGCCTCAGCCTCCCAGAATGCTCGAATTACAGGTGTGAGCCACCTGGCTGGGCTAAGAGGTGGCATTTAAATCCTACCCCCATGAAGATGAGAAGCAATAGAAAGAAGACGGCCTTCTAGAGGGAGGTCTGGGGGTTGTGTCAGAAATGTGGTGGATGTTAGGAAACTGTATATCCAAATTACGGAACATAATGGAAGGTGAGGCTGCCAAAAGATCAGGACTGGGTTTTGGAGGATGTTAAATGTCAGACTAAGGATGAGTACGATGGATTGTAGGGAAGAGAATTTAGAAACAGGCACTTTAGTTGGGTTCATAGTAATCATCTATGAAGGGCTGATGAAGGCTTGAGTTGAGTTGGTGGCTTTGGAAAGGAGGTGATAGATTCAAGAGATATTTTGGAGGTTGAATGGTAAGAAGATGTAGTGACTGATTAGGTGGGTTAGAGTGGAGGTGGGGAAGAGTTTTTTTTTTTTTTTTGAGACAGAGTTTCTGTGTTGCTCTCAGTGGAGTGCTATGCCATTACAGCTCACAGCAACCTCAAACTCTTGGGCTTAAGTGGTTTTCTTGCCTCAGCCTCCAAGTAGCTAGGACTGTAGGCGCCTGCCACAATGCCTGGCTTTTTTTTGTTGTAGTTGTTATTGTTGTTTGGCAGGCCCGAGCTGGGTTCGAACCCACCAATCCCAGTGTATGTGGCCGGCGCCCTAGCCACTGAGCTACAGGTGCCAAGCCAATTTTATTTTATTTTAGAGACAAGGTCTCATCTCTGTTGCTGAGGCAGGAGTGCTGTGGTGTCATCACAGCTCGCAGCAACCTCAAATTCCTGGGCTTAAGCTCTCCTCCTGCCTCAGCCTCCCCAGTAGCTAGGACTACAGGTGCCCACCACAATGCCTGGCTATTTTTTGTTGCAGTTGTCATTGTTTAGCTGGCCCGAGCTGGGTTCAAACCTGCCACTCTTGGTGTATGTGGCTGGTGCCGTAACTGCTGTGCTATGGGTGCTGAGCCAGGGGCATAGTTTTATATCTCAAGGCAGAGATAAGGTTGTGGTTTTTAATCATTGGGTGGCTGGAAGAGTGGGACACCAAGAATAAGGAAGTCAGGGGGAAGAAGTCTTAGGAGTTTAGAATAAAGGTGAGCTTGTTTTTTTTTTTTGGTGGACTTTAAGGAGCTAGTAGAAAGTTGAAATCAGAATTTTATTACTAGAAGGAACTTTAGAGATTTATTGGGGCAACAGCAAAGGAACTTTGGAGTCCAGAGGAGTTAGAGAAATCAATGAGGTCTCACAGTTAATTAGAGCACAGCCAAGGTGAAAGCTTCCCGATTCCTAGTCCAGGACTTTCTTCTGTCTCACACTGAGAAATGCTAAGGGGTAGCTTACCCAGGTAGCAGTGCTCAGTAGAGAGCTGAAGTGGCATAGTTTGTGTTGGGGATTGAGGACTTCATTTT